TTCCAGATTGTTTATTGCCCCCCCCCCCCCCCCCCTCGGCAGCTGTCTGTGGAGCCACAGCAGTGTCCCATCCCATCCCTATCTTGTCCTCTCGAGCCCTGGATTCCCTAGATCAGTGCTGGGCATCAAGTGGCATCTTTGGGGTTAGCTGGGGCCTTCAAATCTAGCCACTGACCAGTGACTCTCCCTGTGCAGGGACAGAGGACTGTGAACAGAAGAGGGGGTCTGGGAGTAAAGGCTCCTCATGCAGAACCACTGATCCCCTGCAGGAGCCCAGGGGCCAGAGGGCCCATCCAGAGGCGGACAGCTTCCAGAACACAGACCTGGAGGAGGCAGTGAGTGGCCTGGCGCCTCCCCCCAATTCTCACCCTCCTTGTGGCCTCTCTGTGAGCAAGGGAGGGACTTGGGTTTGTGTGGGAGACCACAATGGTGGTTGCGGGGAGGCGTCTGACTTCCATCACAGCCAATGGCCAGGAGAAGATGGGGCCCTGCCCTGTTTTTTCTCCCCTCTTAATTCGGGCTTGGTCAGCTCAAATGGACCAGGGGCTACAGCTGGGCAGCTGAGCCAGTTCTGGGCTGAAATAAGATCTCCTCCTGGAAGGTGGGTGAGGAGGGGGCTTTGAGCATTGTACAAGGAATATCACAGATGTGCCCCATAGCCCCAGATCCCTTGCCCAAAAACCATCTGGTAAGCCTGCCCCTGCCCACCTGCTACCCCAGGGTCTTTGGGCTGTCTTGCATTGTACCGTACTCCCCAGGAAAGCTGGAACACACTGACCTTCCTGGACTGAGAATATCCAAACCTGGATCTGATAACAGCCTTTTGTGCAGCTTCAAAGGGCCCAAATGTTCCCTGCCCTACCATTTCCTCCTCTCCTGTTGGTGGTCCCTGAGATGGGCCAAGCCCCTGCTGCTGCTAGGGCCACCTCAGCAAGGCTGGGGCCGCTGGGGGGTTGGCAGTGAGGAGCTTCCGCTCCTCCACTTGTCTAGCTCTGGCCTGTGGGCTCCAGGGGACACTTAGACCGCCCAAGACTGAATCACATCTAGGAAAAGACTGGGGTAGGTGGAGAAAATGCCTTCTTCTGTCTGGTGGTCCTGGGTCCGTTCCCAAGTCTCAGGAAGAATCTACAGTAGCACTGAGATGTCAAAGGTGCCAAGAAAGGGAGGTGGGGGTGAGAGACTGGGAGTTGTTAGCAGATGGCCCTCCCTTTCCCAGCCATTCCACACCTCTCAGCCCTTGGGGCTAGAGTCCTGCTTCTGCTTCTCCTACAGGTGAAGAATCATGCAGCAGACCAGGAAGACAGCCAGTAAAAGATTGTAACCCCTCCAGGCTCATCAGCTCCAGGCACCTTCCCGAGTGGTTCCTTTCTTTGCCTTGAGTGATTTTCCCAAGGCCTCTCAGTGGCACCCATGCAACCCATTCTGGAGCAAGGGCAACGGAAGTGGAGGCACGGCTCAGCCAGAGCAGCCAGGAAGCCTCCCCCGAGTGCTGGCTTTAGCTTTGGTCATGTTTCCAGATGACAGTCTGGGGACTGGCAGGGAAGGGAAGAGGCCTGCAACTGCCCAGCACCAGCTCACCATTCTTAGAAAGCTGAGGCCCACTCGTCGAAGGGGCAGCTGGACAGGGCCCACCTGGGAGCACCATCGGCCCTCTCTGACTGCAGGTACTGTTCCAGCGGCTCTTCTCCCTCTCAAAGCCCCCAGTCCTGTCTGGGTGTCAATAGGGGTATCCTTTTTGTGTCGTTTCTATCTTGTTTCTTGCTGATGTGATACCATGTATTTCAGATCTGCTTTGGAAATATGTATTATGTCACTGGGGGAAATAAAATTTATATTTTTTTCCTCTTGATCAGGGGTTCTCGGTGTGGTCTCCAAGCCTTATTCTGGCCTTTTGGCTGTCCCAGGCCAACCCTTCCTAGAGAAGCTGAGCAGGCCCAAGAAACACAAGCTCAGAAGCTCACACCAAGCCAGGGCAGAAAGGGCACAAAGCTGCCCCGCTTTTCTCCAAACCAGACCTGAGCACAAACCTGCAGGGCTCAGGAGCCACAAAGGGAAGACCCTACCCTTGTGGTCAGACAGGCCAGCTCTGCCCTACAAAATGGCCAGACTCCATCTCCAACATCCAGAAACTCTCACTCCTGGCAGTTCAAGTGCCCTCTCCCAGGAGCCAAGACTGGATGAGGGACACCAGGACACATATAATGCTGTCCCAAGCCCTTGACACCAGGAGTCCGAGAACACATTACCCAGCTTGGAAGAGCCTTGCTCTCTTAAATCCTGTACCAAGAACAACAGAATTTTTCAGATATAAAAGAGTTTTTGTTTTAGCTCAGATATTAAGTGGGAAAGCACAGGCCCCTTGTCCATTCTCTCAAAAGCAGCCCAATAATATAGGAGGGGGTCACTGGCTGGCCTGCATAGGGTCCATCCCTTACGAGACACTAGCTCCAGGTTCCACTTTCCAGGTAAGTCCAGCTGAAGTCCTTTCCAACTTGGGGATCAAGCTGCATTCGCAGGTTTCTTCACCTGAGTCGTGGCTGGGAGCCAACTCACTTAGAAAAGTTCCTTTAATGGAACAGTTTTTTAAAAAAATCATCCCAACACAGCTGTCCAGTGCATCAGTTCTGAGCACGCCTCCCCAGATCCTGTCCCGTGCTCCGAGTTCTCAGCTTGGAGCACGCAGTCTGCAAGCCGACGGCGCGGGTCCTTTCGGGGACAGCAGTAGCTGTCCTCGGCGTCCGTCCTTGCTCAGGGTTATGCTTCAGGGCAGCGCGGCGGCGCCCCTCCGGCGGGCGGCCCGTACTAAGCACTGCTGCAAAACGGGGTAGAGGCGCTGGCAGCCCTCGAGACCCAGGCGCACGGCCTCCGCCCAGCTCTCGGTCGGGCCGCCCTCCCCGCTGCCCAGCAGCCCGGCCACCTGGTTGAGCACCGGCATAAGCGCCACGGTGAGGCCGGCGGCGGCGCGTTCCTCCTCTAGCAGCGTGGGGTCCAGCAGCCAGGTGGGCTCGGGGCCCAACGCGCGGCTTAAGCCGCAGCCCACCACCAGGTCGTACATCTCGATGCCCGCGTCGGCCAGGGCGATCGCGGCAGCCGTGAGCGCGGCGGCCAGCGCCGAGCCGCCGTCCTCGAGCAGCAGCGCCGACACCCCGAGCTG